GAAGTCAGTGTTGTCTGAAGACATTTCCATGGTCATGTGGCCATCATGAATATACATTGAGGCGCAGTTACCTTCCTACTGAAGTATCTATTTTTCTACTTGCGTTTGCATGCTTTTGAACTGCTAGGTGGGCAGCAGCTGGAACAAGTAACAAGATATCACCCCATCACACAGGGATTGTGTCTTGAACCTAGGCTGTCAGTTTTCCAGCTGACAAACCTTTAAGTGCTGAGCCCTCATGTCCCCCGATTATGATTAAATACAGTGTTTTCCCCAAAATAAGACCTATCCAAACATAAGCTCTAGTTTGGTTTTTACATGTTTGTCCCATATAAGCCCTATCCCCAAAATAAGTCCCAGTTAAGACCCCGCCCACTTGAGTGCATGGGTTGGGGCGAGGCACACTGGTAAAAATTAAGCTAGGGTGAGGATGTGGGATGGAGCTGCCCTATTGGACAGTACCTTTGGACAGTTGCAGCCTCTGACGAAATGGAGACTGTGGGGCTCCACACACATCAGTCCAGAGCCTGTTTCTTGGCTGCAGAGGCCTTTTCTGAAGGCCTCGGACAGCGAAATGGAGGCTGGAGGGTGACGCATGCAAGCAGCGATAAATGGCTGCGGAAGAAATGGGCCAGCAGTGGGCTCCTGCTGGGCGGGGCTGTCAGTGCCACTGCCGCAAGGTGAATCAGTGGCAGACATCCCCCCAAAATAAGACCTGGTGCCTTTTTTGATGGGAAAAAAATAAGGCCAGGTCTTATTTTCGGAAAACAAGGTATTGCAACATAAATCAAACTATAACTATAAAGTATAGTTTAAATCTACTTTGATTCTGTTTTAGCACACCCAACCACATGCCAATTTACATACAATGGATTCACATCATAGTTTATTATAAAAACGTTTTAAAGTTAAATTGAGGTTGATTGAAGTTATTCTAACAGCTAAAAAGTATATTTTGGACCACTGTATTGTTATTCAATACAAATACTTCCTTACTATTATGTTCAGTATTTTTCTTCAGGTGAAGATGGGCAGCTGGTGATTCAGACAAATAATTCCATCAGATTGCTAGGATTTATTTAAGATCTCTTTTTTGTTGTTGCTTTAAAAAAAAAATTGCCATCATAGTTCTTTAGTAGCAGCGATCCGCTTGTTTTATTGATCGAGAAGATCAAATATGTTATTTCTCTTATTCCCAATGCAATTGTGAGATCTATTTTTGTTGGAAATTAATTCAGACTCGAAAATTAATGTGTTTTTTTTTCTGAAGAACTACAGTATCTTAAATAGTTTCCAAATAGTTACCAAAAATGTTTAAATTATTGATCAGGAATTGGAAGTATAACTACATACTCTGGAACTTCTCTGCATTATTGTAGTATAATAATAGAATCTATACATATATAAAAGTGAATACTCATGCTTCATCACAAAATCTCCAGAAACGTAAAGCCTACAAACTTGAAATTTGGCACGTATGTTCCTCTTGGCTTCTAGGTGCTTGCTAACAAAGGATTTTTCGAAATGACCATCAGAGTATTTCGTATATTATTATTAACACGCTCTGATGCTAAGGAGTTCTACTCCCCCTCCCCACCTGAAAATAAATCTGTTCCAAATGCAAAACACAAGCAGAGGAGTTTGAGTTTTAGTTTCACAGCACCAAGCAGCTTTAATACAGAACATTTGAGCTAAACCATGCCCAGGCTCCTTGTTGTCTCCTTGCTCACACAGCAAATACTGTTTTAGTTTCCAAACAGCCCTCAGCTCTCTCACACTGACAGGACACTAGCCAGATGAATGCTGATGGATGCTGGTAGGCAGAGGCACAATATATGGATTAAGGGTTTAAAACTTGTGGTAAGGCAGGTCTTCATTCAGAAATGTTTGTTTTCTTGAATTCCTTTCTCAGTTTGTTCAGTAATATATTTCTGCTATTACTTCCTTGGTCTCACTTGTTTCCATTCTGAGAGATCTTTGTCTTCATGTTGACTGAAAGTCAGAATAGATTATTACTGATCCGATTTAACCAAGAGTGGTTCATTGAAGTGAAATAGTGAAGGTAAAGGAGAATTTACTGTATGTGTCTTGGTGGATTAGAAGGTACTTAGCCACAGCATGATATAGCTGCAAAAAAAAAGATCAATGTAATACCAGCCTACATAAATTCAGTGTGGAGATCAAGAAAAATCATTATTTCTTTCTATTCTGCATTACTCAAACCATACAGAATATTGCCTTCAGTTCTGGACACTGTTAAGCACGAGTGTGTCCAGAAGAGAGCAAGGAAAGTTGGAGGTACTGGTTCTGTTCAGTCAGACAGAAGACTATGCAGAAGTCTTCAGAGGTCTTTCAGAAGAATTAAGGAACACAGCAGGACATTTCCTAACTATCAAAGGTGTTCAATAATGGAAGAAACTACCTTAAAAAGTAGTGAACTTTTCTTTGCTCTGGAAGTGTTTAAACAGAGGTTGGATGACCCTCAGTCGGGAATGTCACAGTTCTGAATTTCTGCTTTGCTTAGATTATATCCATATCTCTAGCAACTCTCCCATCTTTGATTCTTTAATCTCTGGTTATTGGAATTGGACAAGGAGGGTGAGGTAGAACAGGGATGTTTAAATAAAAGAGGGTTGTGATTAATAAAATATGTGGCAGTTTGCTTTAGATTGTGGGTAGATATTGACTGCAATTTTGTTGGTTATACCTAAGGAGAAATAAATTCCATGCACATCCAAACTTCCTGTTAATTACCAGAGCAATTCCCATCCCATTGCAATGGTAGCTTATGTATTCCAGTGAGCCATGGTTTCTACCTGGGCTGAGCTTGGACCTTTTCAGGCTCCCCTGACCAGGCTCAAGTCTAAGCCTCATACATGGGCCCAGTCTAAGCCTCATACATACCAGATTACTCACTTCCCACCGGATTCATTATTCCTACCATCCATTAGCCCATACGTAATAGATTATCTCAATTAGCCTTTTACTATGCTAGTCTGAGCTACTTCTCTGAGGTCTTCAGCACTGATCTGATTGTATAAATGTGCTACCCCTTAGCTCCTGTGTGTCTGATGTAGCAAAATAATTGATGTCCAGGTATTTGTACTGAGGATGAGCAACTTGATATCTGGGGAGGGGAGTAGCAAAATGATACCCAAGATTGCATAACATAACATGCACTTCCTGGCCACTAGATAAGCAGTGTTATCATAAGAGTTACGATAACCATGTCATTATGTGAATTGGCATGCATGTGTGCCACTGAACGATACTTAGGCCATATATTTCCTTGCAGATAATAAAGTTTTGTGTGTTTTAGCGGATTTTTTTTTAATGGGCTGGTATCAAATCACCATGACTCCCTGCCCTTGACCACTTGTTTCCAAGAAACCAATCAGTTCCACAAGAGATTTGCTTCTTGGATGCAGGCAGTGGCTACCTTTAGATGCAAAGCAATCCCTCTCACTGCAATACTAGCCAAAGAGACTGTTCCCTATCCACCTACTCCACCCAGGTAAATAATTTCCGGAACCATGCATCATTTCAGACCCAGCTGACACAGCAGTTTTTTTTTTTTTAAATGTTCTCAAAGAGTAAAATTGTGTTCAAGGAATGGGTGGGATCATTAAGGTGTCTCTTGTTCAGTTGGCTGAGCGTTTGTTTGCCTGCTTGATGAAGATGCCTGGTGTCATTCGGAGCAAACATTCCAAGCTAGGGTTTGATCAACAGGTGGGGGTGGAAGACAAAAAAAATGTGCCTTATTCTCACCTCGTTATGTAACCAAAAAAAGCAAGGAGTTTACTATTCTAAAACTAGCTGCCGCTGTAAATGTTGGTGGAGTGACTTCATAAGGAAATAAACGGGTGTGATGTGAGAATCTTTGCATCACACCAACGAAAACATAGAAGTTAAAAAAGAGGCACAGTTTGCTCCAGGGCCATAGATCCCTTTCCAAACAAGCTGCATTCGTGCCATGCACTTTTAACAGGGTAGGCTGGACCTGTTTTCTCGGTTCCGACACAGGTACACGAAATAAATGGGCTGTTTTAAAAAAAAACAAAAAGCCAACATTAAGACTAGCAAGAGCCGCGAATG